CAATAAAAGCACAATGGGACTCAGGAAATGACAATTCTCCATACAATGAACCATTTCCTGTCTTTTATTTCAGTAGTTCTTTCACAAAACACTTTATTTCCCTGTCCATACAAACAAGTCTACACAAGCTAAAGTCAAACTGAGGGAAGAAGCTTGTGGGATTTATTTTGGGAGCATTTGCAAATGTCATGTTTTTTCCACCAACAGCTGCTGAATCAAAATTTAAACTAATGTTTTCTCCAATAATTCACCACCCACTTGCCTGACTTAAAAAAATAAGCCACAGGAGATAAGTTCCAGGTAAGAGTTCAGGCTTGTTCTTGTTTTATCTTTTTTTGGGCTCACCCATCCTTAATCACAGTCTGTGGCAAACACTGAACCATCGGCTGAGTCAGAAACAAATGATAACATGAAAGGACAGGGAAAATGTATTTTAATCAGAAAATTAGCTCCAGGTTGTGATCTCTGACAAGCAGGACCAGCACTGGATTCTGTGCCCTGCGGTGCCCTTTTTCATTAGATTAATGTGAATAGAAATTGATCTTTTTTTTTTAATGAAAGGAACAGGGAGAAATTAAATGAACACTGAGCTGAATATGCTGGAGTTTTTGCTGTGGTTTTATGGGCTTGCAAGTCAGTGTTAGCGATGAAATTCAAAGATCTATGGAAAGTCATAAATTATAAACAAATCTAGGAAGAGCTTGATATTTATGAAAGCCTAAAAGAGGCTAAAATTAATTGTTTGGGGAAATATTAGTGAAATGCAAAAAAAATCCTCATTATAAACTTGGGACAAAATTGTTACAACACAAGTAATTAGATTTAATTCCAATTTAATACCTGTGCTGGTTCACCCAGCGCTAGGAATAATCTGCTTTGTAGCAGAATGGTTGAGAGTGAAAGCTGCCCTGAATGTGAATTACCAGCACACTTAGTGGAGCCTGAGAATCTTTTGCCATGCACAGAATGCAGCCAATTTCAGGAGCACACAGATGGGGATGCAGTGAGCCCCTGCAATACAACATCTGAAACATAAATGACAAGATTTGAACAATTTGGTGCTTGTGGCTGGAAGGAAATGTATTTATCAGAGAAAACTCATGTTAGAATATAATCACACGATCACAGAATATCCTGGGTGGGAAGGGACCCACAAAGATCAGCCAGTGCAGCTCCTGGCCCTGCACAGACACCCCAAAAATCCCACCCTGGGCATCCCTGGGAGCTCCTGGAGCCCAGCAGCCCCGGGGATGTGAGCACAGAGCAGGGCCTGAGAACAGCCCCAGGTGAGTCCCAAGGAAACCATCCTGGAAAACAACTCCTTCACTTGCAAGAGGAAGAGGAAAAGTCAAGATTTTAAGAGAGACGCTGATATCAGAGGCTGGTCCTTAAGGAGACTTTAAGATCCTTTCCGTGCTCCATTCTTAAGATTGATGATTTTTGGTCAATCTCTTTGACCCTTTTTCACTGAGTATCCTTTCCCTAAATTTGCTGTCTTTCCAGACCATATTTACAAGGTTTTCCTGGCACAGAACCAAGATCTAAATGCTTTTGTCTTTCCACCTGCATTGCCTTCATTCCTTTACAGCTGTAGCCAAATACAGCTCAGTTATTCGTGGTTCATACTGAGCAATATTCCAGCAATCCTGCTAAAACTCTGGCTTTTGGATTACCACCTTATCTGTTACTTTTCTGTTGGTTTCCCAGGAATTTGCAGAAAAACATTTGCTACTTCTTCTTTGACAATTATTTGCAAACAAACTGATTTTTATGGGAGCATTTCCTTACAACCACTCAACACAATTAAACAGGACACTTCAGGTTACTTCTCCAGAAAACATCTCAATTATTGCTTTAAATATCTATTTACAATAATTCATGTTATTTCTACACTAAAGTTCCCCTTTCCCTGATGTGATGGCTCAAAATGTCTTCTAAACACTGCAGACTTTTGGCCACTTTTCCAGTGAAAACACTAATTTATATAATTATAATTTATATAATTATGCATTGAAAAAGTTTTCCCAAATACTATGAGTAGTAGTCAGACTACCATGCTGAAAACAACATTAATTTGGGAAGGGATTGATCCTGACAATTGCAGCCCATGTT